TAGTTTGTATATTATGAGTTATGAGCACGAATTTTTGAGTTAATTCTGCCGAAAAATACGTACTTATTTTTACATACTTTGCGTATCTCTGCTTTAAAAAAAAAAAATTTGAAATTGTCATTACATGCTATTTAATAACTTTCTTATTGGCAACATTTAAATAACGGCTTTCAGAACAGTATTGCGCTAGTATTATATCAAGAGATTATCTTATCGATTAATTTGTATGACATACATATTTGTAGACATTCTAATTATCATTTATTTGTAATTCACTTGGCTTTGCAAGCAATTTTTTATGGCCATTTTTTATCAACAATTTTTTACTTTATCGCTTTTATGTTTCTTTTTTCCACTCTAGTTAAAAATTCATATTAAGGGAAAAAAAATAGGAATAAATACATCATTTCTAATATTCTATACATAACTAAAAAAATCATTAAAATATTTTTATAACATTATTAATATTTTATTTAATTTTGTAACAATAATTAACTTTGACGATGAAAAAATGTCGGCATTAATTTATTTATTATCTTATAACATTTAAGAGAAGACAAAGTCAAATTATGCTATCTCCTTTACGAATGCAACTGTGTCGCTCGTAGATTTCAATTGCCTGCGCAGTGTCAAAGATCGAATTATATTAAGACTGAATGAATCTGTTTTATCGTTAAATTCCGATTAAGCAATCAACTAAATTGGAATTATAATTCTCCGTACAGTGTTAATTGTACGATAATATTAACGGTTATAGTTTTATTTTTTTCGCAGCTTTAAAAATACGATGTATATTTGTTATTTGAAATAAACGACGGTTATATTAAGAATAAGACTTTCTACAAAGACATCTTTAAGAATCATTTTATAATTATTTGCAAATATATGATTCGACGCATTTGAGAAATAAATCTTCCTCGTGCTAAGCTCTATTTCTAAATTTATATAAATTTAATTAAATTCGTCAACAGGATAATTTCGTTTCTTTTTACAGCCGTGTTTCGAACCGAAATTACGAAATGGTGTGTCAAAGAGCAATAATGTGAAAAAGGAAGAGAAGAACTTCTTGTTGGATGATATGGAAGGTAATTCGTGCTAGCACATGCTGCTCTTGTCTCGTCGCATGAAATGACGAAAACTCTGCACGAGTTCTGCACCGCGTCGGAGATCGCATTCGCGGGACTGTTCCGCGTTTATATATAATACGGCGGCGAACTTTAGTATTGTTGTTAAGTTTGAAAATCTGTGTTGATGGAATGCGCACAAGTGCGCTATATCGACGACGATTTCACTCCAACTTGGGAAAGAAAGCCAAAGGTCTTTTTAGAAAGTCCTATTTCTTAGTATATCATACACGTTAGAGCTATGTTTTAGAACCATTTTTCACTTTAGTAGTCATTAAATTTATCATTTTTGACGATGTTAGACATTTGTTTTAGCAATTATAAAGCTGGATTTTACATTTTTCTAAACCTGCCGATCGCAATCCCTCGTGCACAAGCAATACTAAAGTTTTAAATAAAGACACGAGATGTTATAAAATTCGAAGTTATAAACGAATTTTTTTATTATATTATTGAATTATTAATTTTATTACATTATTTTTTTATTATATTATATATTATATTTCTCTCAAACATTATATAATAACTGAATTCCGTTTCTAAAACAATATCAGAGAGAGAGAGAGAGAGAGAGAGAGAGAGAGAGAAAGGATTTTAAATTTAAATATAAAAATATAAAAATTCATATTTAAAGAAATATAAAAATTTTTTATTTAATAAAATATACAATTTTTGACAGAAATATACAGAATTTCGAATTCGTGAGATTGTATTATCAAACAAAAAAAAGATGAGATGATATGATATCGATATTTAAAACAAGGGAAGAGATATACAGTTTAGAAAAAATTTGTTATTATTCTCTTTCTAAGATTTACCTGCTGAACAACATAATTCTGATATAAAAAATTTTGTAATATTTCTTTATAGTTTCGTATTGTATTTCTGTTCATTTCTCTTAAATCATTTAGAAGAGAACTCAAATGTATGCAAAAAGTAGCTATCGCAGTCACAAGGGGTGCGCAAAAGTTGCCTTAAGCGATAATTCTAATCATTGCTCAAAGTACCGCTGAGTACATTCCTGAATGAAATTTAGATCGTGATATGGCGTCACAGAGATAAGTGATTCTCTTATAACATTTTTTGACTGAGTCATCTGTCAATGGCTTTACGGTACATAATTATATTAGTAATTTTATTGCATCAGATCATTATTCAACAAAATTCCATTTGTCATTCTTTGATACTTATCGCATTGACGGGAATATTATCGCGTAAAAGCTTCATATTTCGAAGCGCTTCTCTCTAATTTCATTCTCAGTTGATCTATTCACTTTGTTTGTATACATTTCCGTAATCATATTCAACCACTGACCATTTTTTATCATACTGTGAGTACAACATACACGTGTATATATATATATATGTATACATCTAATATTTATACGTGTACATATATGTATACATATAGTTATACGTGTACATATATGTATACATCTAACATTTACGAATATATGAACGATGAGCTCGAGTTGGATCGTGTTTTACGCATCTATGATCCTTTAATGTGAATTTCTACCGCTATTGGACATTAATTCACTTCGAGAAACGTTATCACTGACGTAAATAGTAGTCATATGAAAATTCATGTGGCATTGTCTGGCAACTGCATATAATATACGTATACATATTATACGAAATGTATATTAGATGAAACTAGAAGAATATTCAAAGAGTCACAATGTATAGAAACGATTCTCATCCTCATTCAAACATCAGATATCCCCAATGATATAAAAATATACTGCAGATGTATAAAACTTTGTCAGAAGTTTCTAATATTTATACATCAATGATATCCGTGATTTTTAATTCATCTAATTTGAGGATCGTTAGAATCGTTTTTTATAGTACCGTTTGAAGATACCTGTAGCGTTTACTTTATTGCAGAACAATACTCCGTTTATTTAACTGCGAAAACTTTTGTTCTGTATCGATATATGCAACGCTGAGCCAACTTTTAAATCTTTCTTCCAATTTTATTCCGTCGCGAGAATGAAAAATATTTGTCTCCCATTTTTATGTTATGTCGTGTGTAATTATGATAGTTACAGTGCACGTATAAAGTCATGCGCGTGCGAGGCGAATGTACAAATGCACCGCACTTGTACGTTAAAATTGATTTTATTTTAGTTATTTTATTCTTATACGGAGAGAGGATGATCGCAAATTTTTATTTTTATTTTTTGGCCCACATTTTTGCGCAAATCAGTCGTAATATATAGTAGTTACTTAAAGCGTACAATCTATTACGTACACCAAAGTTACTTTTGTTAGTAATAACATGAAACAGAGTACAATATTATTGGTTTGTAGAAATTATATCGCATATATTAACTTAAGACATAATTAGACCATTTACTGTGTTATGTTATGTGGAAGCATATATATGGAAATGTTGTTCAATTCTAATTACGTTGTAAAGTAGCAAACCAATGATTATTATGTTGTTCATTTAATTGTTTATTTATAGAATTTATATTATTCTTTATGATACGGAATAATGTTCCTGTCGTTATGACAACAGATTATTCACAGTACATGACGATGCTTTCTGTTCCTGTATACGCTAGATGTTACTTAAAGAAAAATTGTCTTATTTGCTTTTTAAATCTACTATATAATTTTATACTAAAAATTTGCGACATTTGCTGACTTTATATATATGTGTATATACACATCACACACACACACACACACACACACACGCGCGCGCGCGCGCGCGCGCGCACACACACACACACACACACACACACACATACAATTTAAATATGGAAAAATATATATGTATGAAAGTTGCGCGATCTATCTATATTGTATTGGAAGATAGCCCTCTCCCACACACTCATCCCCAGAGATGGGATAGTGGATTTATGGTGAAAGGGTTATATTCCTGAAAACTATAAATGCCATAAAAAATGATGTATAATATGCAATATGTTTCTGTACAATTTTGTATTATGTATTCGAAATGACGAAATTTGTTATATTCAACATCTCAAATTTATTAGCTTAATTATTTATGCAGAAATATTAATCTATTATCCTGAATATTTAATATTTAATCTCTATTCTTTTGAATGTTATATATTTTCTGCATAGAAATTCAAAAATTTATTGCGTTTATTTTAAATTGTGTACTTAACTTGATGTTTTAAATTGTACTTAAATTATAACTAAATTATTAGATTCTTTAAATTATTAAATATATAACTTTAAAAGCAACATATTACATATTTTGCATCTTCGTTTACAATGGTTATAATGCTGGTTGCTATTGTATACAGATTAAAATGAAATAAAATGGATTATCTCTTATTATTGCAGGTGTGTCATTATTATGTATACCTTATTTTGTCGGAAAAACTATGATAAAAAGATTTGAATTATAATTTCAATATACATCTTAATGTAAAAAAACAATATTATATTAGATACATACAAAACATTAGAAGAAATGAGCAATTAAGAAAAATATTAAAATGTCAGATTAATTGGCATCCTATATTTTTGTAGGTTACGTATTATATCTTCAGATTGACTATGTCATGAATTTTATCCGAGCTGATAAGGAATTTTCATTACGACTATTCTGTATTACGGATAATACTAAGTGTATCTCATTTAAAAAGGCATTTACCTTTTTAAAACTGCTTATAAAAGGTTGAAGAATTTGATATACATATATCAAGCACTATATTGTATAGAGCATTGTTTTTTTGAACAAGTTAACCGAATAAGAATTCTTTTATGTCCCGGCGTATCTGTTCATTTTCATTAATAACACATAGATATTTATACTGAGATGAATATGTGTAAAATTTTTTGAATTTAAATTGGTGCGAAACCAAGAATTCGACAAGATTGACAAGAAGTATGATAGATACTAACAAAGGCCAATCTGAATTAGGCTTAATATTAACATAAGGGGAGCGCTCCACCATGAAAGCTCCGAGAGCAAAAGAAACAATCGAACGCTCGTACTCGTGGTAAAATGGCATCCGCATCTCTGAAGGGCACTCGCAAGACATACAGCTTCGAAGAGCGGAAAATCTTGATATCGTTGATAAACAAGCACGAGGTCATCCAAAATAGGAAGTCAGATCCGATCTCCATATGCAAACGAAAGTCGGCGTGGTCGCGAATCACCGAGGAGTACAATTTGATAGTAGGGTCCCGGGGCGCGCGTTCGACCATACAGCTCAGACGTTGCTGGGAGAATATGAAGGCCTGTAAGCGTAATCGCGATGAAAAGAAATTTCGGTAATTCAGCATTATGAAGCAATTGTTCTCGAGATTAATTTCTTGGCACAGAACTTAATAGATAATGAGACGTAGTTTAATGAAATTCGTATTTTGGCTTTTGATTCCAAGAGTTAGAATAAAGAAGACAGTAAAATTTTAAATTTGAATAAAAGTTTTATTTTTAAGAGAGATCTATTTCAAGGTTCAGAAATTTGCTAGCAAGTAGTTTGCCTCAGCAGTGTAAAAAAGATTGATATAAAAGAAAAAGGTCCAAGAGAACAAATATTAAAATCTTTTAATCTTTTAGTGAAAATATGAAAGCGGTTTGTCAATCGACAAAAGACAGGGCGAGAAATCAATGCTGGGAAGGTATAACTTGTGGTCACAATGTCCCAAAGGCACCAATGTCTACCGGAACTGTTGGTTTACCACCAAATGTAGTATTTGAGCCGAAGGATTCAGAACCATTCACATTGCAAAGTATTTGCACTGCTGGAACTCAAAATCCAAATCGCTTAAAGAAGGATGTAGACAGTCGCGAAAATTCAAATTGTAAATATGCTTTTTCTGGATTCTTCCACATTTAGTATAGTAATCTTTTTAAACATACAGCTTTTGAGAAAATAATTTTAGCAATTATATAAATAAGGAAAGTTAAAATAAGGACAATAATTAAACATTAATGAAGGAGAAATGTGATAAATGATATTTTTATGAATAAAGTAGTTTTTTATTTGTGTATATTGTATTTTTTAAATATTTATTTATTACTTATTTAATTAGATTTTTTATAACTTTATTAGAAAGGAAAAAAAATATTTTTATAATATAATAATATTATAATAATTTAATATTTAATATTATAAATAAAGAGATTATAATACTTTTCCTATTTTCACACGAAAGTAATGAAAACTTGAAGTAATCAAAAGTAATCAAATTTGACTTTTTACAGCTGGCGGCACAATCAAGGAAATGATCACCGATAGAGATAATTGCGATACTATTGCATCCCCCAATTCGATGAATGATTATTATGAGAAGTTCGTAGGAAGAAATGTTGATTCTCCTATGATTGATCAGTCAACGGACAACAGTTTTGGAAAAATCGCACACCGAGAAAGTAATCCGGGACCGAGTGCTTTATACAATTTGATCTCACCTCGCGTTGTGCAGGAGCATAATCCTAAGAGGAAATCCACGCAACGGGAAGAAGAGCTGCACATGCTTGCACTTTCGGAAGCGCAGATTAAGGTCGACATCGCCGCCATGTTAAAGGAAGAAGCGAGGCTCAAATTAGAGGAGGCTCATTACCGCAAGGAGGAAGCTAGGCTTAGAATGCTACTTTTTACTTATAAACTAGACAGAATTAAAGACGAATGAAGGAAGACGGATAATTTTGTTGGATATGGCATAGACGCGTGTTGTACATCTATTATTTTTCTTTATTTTCATTGCACCGATGCATCGATGCCGGTGCTCGTAAGCAAAATAAATTGGTTATATAATATAAAATATAAACGTAATTGTGTGTCTCTATATGTAATACCAATTTACTTCTTATAAATGCACAATTAGAATATCAAAATACAAGTTTTCTGATGATTTTACTTGCTAATAATTATTGTATTATGCGATATTATTCAGCTTGTGATAAACGTTATGACTTTTGACGAACGCAGACGCAACAGACAATCGGCAAAATTATGACAGTAAAATGAAAGAGAAAGTTTTGATGTTCACATTATTCATATTATTTGTATGTTTGGATCAGTCATTTTTAGTTAAAATATAACAGCACAGAGAACTCGTCTGTATCTTTATTCCAAATTTAGAAGAAATATATATATATATATATATATATATATAAAAGATAAAATATAAAAGATAGAAATATATATAAAAGATATAAAAAAGATAAAAAGATATATATCAAAAAAAAGTTTTCTTTGCGTCTTAAAATACTCTTGATTATTTGAAACTTAAATTTCTCTATATTATTATAAGAGCTATTTTGCAGTCATTTTGGAATGTCGTTTGAAAGAGATACCAGATGCTATTTCTGGAATATCTTTAGGAAATATTTTTGTAAAGTAATATTTTTAACTTCTCGATTATTAGTAATAATATTATGTATAAACAGTATATAAAATAATAAATGCTTGATAGAGTCTTTAGCTGGCAGAGTCTTCATGGAGGATTGGCAGTGAATTATTGACTAGTGACAGAATAGATCATGAATGCTGATTTGTCACGGATTAATTGTCGTTAGTCGGTTTCGTATATTCTTATTAAAGTAAATAAATAAAGCGGGAATCGTTCGCGTTATGTAATTTCAGGATCGATCTTCTCACGTATTTCTTCTACATAAGATGAAAATTGTCGCCAAGAGCCGATTTCGAGGTGTTCGAGCAATGGGTGACCTCAAAAAGCGAAGGATCGGTGTAGATCGGCTCGCTTGGATCGAAACCGCCACGTCGACCAGTGGATAATCCCACAGCACCCTCCAGAGCGGTGGACGACGAGGCAAGACGTTGACTGATAGCATTGCTCATTGATCTCGAGATCGATCTAAATGTTACTATTTGTTACGACCTTCATTACAAATTTAAATTTTATATTAAGAATAACGAGAAAATAATAAAATATCAACACTTGAAAAAGAGTTCGATTGAATTAACTGGAATTCAAGTTAAAAATGAACAAATCAAAGTTTTCTGGTTGAATTTACTATAATTTTAGTTAAACAAACTAGACTTTTGATATGATTTGAATCTTCTGGTTCATTTTCAACCAGGAAGACATAGAATTTAAAATACGCATAATTCGTTTAGCACTTACGATGCTTGGAACGGTTTCTGAAGACCTGTCCTCATAAAAGAAAAGTTGTTGATTCGACTGCTGTAAGGCTCATCGGAATGGTTGCTGCGACTGCAGGTTTTGTCGAGTCTACGATTTTTCATAATCACGGAATAAACGTATTTTCTGAAATAATGAATCACTTTAAATTTGCTTATACTAAACAATGAAGATGAGATCCAATATTGTATTAATAATACTATAAGCTTATAACTATTCATGGGTTAATTTATTTTTATGAATTTATTCTTAAGAGTCTATTTATTCATTGGGATGTGTTCTTAAATAATAAAATGCGAATGAGTTATTAAATTTCATAAGTAAAATATAAGTTCTACCTGTAAACGAGCATAGACAAGAGAACAACGGAGGCCAAGAGCACCACGAGGATGCCCACTGCGGTAACCAAGCCGTAGTATTCGTTTTGCGTTATACAAATATTTTCCAAGAATAGTTTGCTAGCCTTAGTTTGTTTCTCAATGATATTATCTTCTTCAATGTTCATTCTTGAGTCGAGAACCTATCAAAATATAAATAATATTATTGCTCGTGGAATGACACCTTTCTATTCCTTTAAAACGAAAACGATCAATCTTGATACCTCTATCATTTCTCTGACGTGCTCTTCCTCCTCTTCGTTGTCCAGCTCATCACTCACAGCGTCGGTCGCGTTGAAAATCGTTGTTGACGCATTGTTAAAGTCATCATTCGCTACTATTATCGGTGATTCCTCGTCCTCGTCTGCCACTGTATCGTTATTTACGTCCCTTCGCCGTCTGCCGAAAGACGGTTCGCTTCTACCGGTACCACTGCAATACGCTGGCTGGCAGCCATCGCGGCACGTTCGTACATTCGCCTCGAACACCAGGAAATTTGATTCGGGTATTTTGAAGGCGTTGAAGCGGGCCTCGAGGCTGTCGCCGTCGCGAAGGCGGTCCAAACCCGGAAACACGTAGTTGTCCACTGGACAGCTGCAGAAATTTCCGTTTCAATTACGCGAGTACGATATGTAGATAGATAGATTACGGCGGTAATTTAATTTATCCAATTATTATGTAACTTGAATATCTCAATAAAGGCCAAGATAGAGAAAAAAAGTAGTGCAATGATGGCTGCGTTCCGATATTCACTACCAGTGCTGAAAATCTATAAGTGCACATAGTGTAAATTATAGATTTTCAATACTGGCAGTGATTATCGGAATGCAGCTGATGTTGTATTATCTTCAGTATAGATAATGCTATTATAATACTTCTCTTTTTGTTTTTTTTTCTCTCTTCCTTACTGGCTCTCATTATTAGGAGTTTCAATGTTTCTTACCCATATCTGTCTATCAGTTGAACACTTTTACCAGAGTAAGGATCTCTTGCAATAACGTTAGTAGCAAATATATCCGTTACGTAATTGTACCTATGGACAATAATGATTAGGATTTATTAAAATTTATACGCGATTATTACGAAATATTTTTAATGCGAAGCTCTTGCGATATTTGATAAGCAAAAATTAATTTGGAAGTCAACGGAATAGAATCGGATAGCGATATCAAACCATTATTTCCATATAATTTTTTAATTACATTAATTGGATATCAGATTAAAAAAAATGTATAAATGAAAATTACCCATCTTGAGCTTCGAGTCTGAAAGTGAGAGGGTCGCCAACGGCGATGGTTGTCGTAGGTCTACCCTGATAGAGAATCAGCAAGCGCACTCTGGAGCTCAGAGTATTTTCCGCTGGGAGATATTCGATAGGGATGGGGGACCCCGATCTGTACAGTGGACGCACGAGATCCATTAGCGAAATTGAATGAATTACAAGTCTAATGAATGTAGTGGAAAACATGAGCATATCCAGCGGGGGAAAGAATTGGAACGTTCAATTATTTATTTATTTCTTTAATTTTTAATTATAAAAAAATAGAACTTTACTTTCGACCCTAAATAATATTTTATTCTCACATAAACTATTTTCTTTCTTCATTATGATCATATAAATAATTTCTAAAACTTTTGTTAGGTACAGTTTTGACAGAGTTTCTAATACATAAGAGAAATTTTCGTAAGATTTTTGAACAAAAAACAGAAAATGCGTTAAGATATTAATTAGTACTTTATTCACAACTACATTTTGTTTTTAATAATTGTATTTCATCTGTACTGTTTTCAAAAAAAGATAAAAATTATGATTTTTACAAAACCTAAAATTATTCTTTTTTAAAATCAAGAAGTAGAAAGAGATTCTAAGCTCTAAAATATCCAAAAAAGCAATTTATTAAAAATTGTTGTTTATGTTATGAGAACAGAATTAAACCTCCCCTCCGAAAACAAATCCTGGATATGCCCATGATGGAAACGGTGTATATACACATGAAAGATGTAATGCGGACAACATAAATCGGCGCTTTAATTAGCTCTTGTTTCTAAATTTCAATTTTACCAATTGATATACATTTTTTATCTTTTAATCGAATATTATACTTTTTTTTATTGAAAGATGAAATAACTATTATGAAATAGCTATTATGTAATTAATAGCATAAAAACAAAAATTTTCTGATATCATAATTAATCCGTACTGTGATTAATTTTTTAATAGATTAGCCATTAGCATAAATGCACATTATATACATATGTGTAACATGAAGTAAATAAGGTATGAAGGAATAGAATGTGTGCATGATGTCTTCAAGATTTAGGACTGAATATGTGATAAAAAAAGTTGTACGAGCGTGCTTTCACCTCGTATTATATTTGATTTTATACTCATGCATGAAAGGTAATGTATTTTGCTCTGTTTACAGTAACAAACTATACATGCGTTCATGTTAACATACGAAATTAATGAACAAGGGGAGGCCAGAATAACATTGGAACAATACTATAATATTTGCTCAACGGATATAAAGATGGAGAACTTGTCTAAAATTAATACGATTTGTTAAAAAAAGAATCCTGTAAAAATATAAAATTGTAAAAAGGAATATTATTAGGTAAGTTCAAAGATTTTTCTCTCGATATGGCTTTATTTACATAATTCAGTGTCCCGGAGTACCTATGGCATTTAACGCGTTATAGATCGTGCTCTCGGTACAAGGCACGATCTTTCGATCGATATGACCTGGCATACCCGGCACCGATGTAGCCGGACGTGACGACAGCTTCGTCAGGTCCTCGAAACATGCACGTTAGGTTGAATCGTTTGTCTCGCCCGGTTTGCACGTAGTCCGAAAATTGCACCACCACGATGTTTGTCATCGTATCGCCATACTGCAAACATTCGCCATTGAAGCGTGTATTACATCGATTATTGCCAAATTTTCAATTTTAATATCAGATATCATTAAAAAAAAGAGATGTATCGTGTTAATAAGAAATTTCTTTAATGAAATTATTATAAATAATTCTTGTATTCGATGTCTGATTAAAAGTTATTGTGAAACAATTTTCCATTTGCGCGATTTAAAGGTTTTCAGATCATTCCTTGAACGTCATGCGCAGTAAAAGAGATCGCAGCTTAAATTAAATCGGAAATTACTTCGCAGTGGATCATGTTGTTAAGCGAAAATTTATGCTCTTACTCGCTGTGTGCCACACTCGGGATATCCCTGAGGTCCGCTGATACGGAGTTTGTTCACGGTCCTGCCGTTTCCGCGAAAGAAGCATCGGTCATAGTATCCGTACGTGTAAATTCGCCCAATGAATCCCTCCGGCGTCCTCAGAGTAAACTCCATCCCGTCCTCGCTGCAGACTTGACTCACTAAAAGCGTAACAGAGCATAATTCGTTGCGCATAGCTGCCGAAAAACTGTCGATCGAGGAGGTGCGCGTTAGTATGAAATTAATTAAATTGAAATTAAGTAAAAGAAATTATTTGAAGGCGAAA